AAAAAAAAAGAAGGAGCAAGAGAATGACTAATGGGAAGAGGACAGACGAAGACATAGAAGAGTAGCTATACAGAGACACAAAAGTATGTACTAATAATTTCTCAGATATTATTGATATCAGAAATGCTCTAGTGGCCAGTGACCTTCTGGCAAGAATATAACTGGCTAATCTTACTGGTTTTTAAACTTCTGCATTACATTGCTCATCATTTTAAAGAATTAAAATGGTCACTTAATTACTTAAATTTAAATTTAATCACATCACATGATAGCTACACAAGGTCAGAAGTTTATTATAGCCCTTTCTGTTTCATAAAAGAAAAAAAAAATACCATATCATCACTTTCGACAGAATATTTTCTTTAATCGTATAACGTTACCAACACGAAAACGCAGTCAACGGACCTCATGCTTAGGTTGACTGACCACACACAAGTTAGTGGACTAGCATCGTGGACAGGGCGATCGTGGCTCAAGAGTTGGGAGTTCGCCTTGTAATCCTATAGTTGCCGGTTCGAGCCCCGGCTTGGACAGTCTCGGTCGTTGTGTCCTTGGGCAAGACACTTCACCTACCGCCTACTGGTGTTGGCCAGAGGGGCCAATGGTGCGATATGGCAGTCTCGCTTCTGTCAGTCTGCCCCAGGGCAGCTGTGGCCTCCACCAGTGTGTGAATGGGTGGATGACTGGGTGTGTAAAGTGCTTTGGGGTCCCTAGAGGGGACTAGTAAAAGCGCTATACAAATACAGGCCATTTACCATTCCTTTATCAGCCTTTAGTAGGTGAGCAGTTATGATGGGAACACCAACCTGAGACTATAGAGCTAATGTAGAGAGAATGTTGGGGTGGACCAAACCCCCCCCAAAAAACTTGGCTTAGTTACTTCTTTCAACCAGTTTCTCGTAGTTTTCTTTTGGTTAAATGGAATTTAAACAATCGCAACACTGAATTTATGACCATTCCACCCACGCTGTAGAAATTTCCCTTGAATCATCGCCATAGAGCCAAGACAGAAAGACTCATGGACAGCAAACTAGAATTATCCTACCATTCGACTGATTGATATTTAGCTTGTACTGTATCTTTTCCACAGTGTGTTTTTATACATGATCACATGCAAACCTCATGGGTACCGTTGCTGGAGCCCTTATTCATTATGAGTTCTGGCTTATGCACACACTGTAAATTACAGTGGATAAATGTCTGCCAGAAGTTTAAAAGGTGAATGGAAACAAAGATTAGGTAAGACTGGAACTAGTGATTATAGTATCTGTTACAGGCAAAAGGAACAATAGAAAACAGCAGAATAAAATAGTGTTTGGGTATCTTTGAATCAAATACATATTTCTGGGATACATACAGTACTGTGCAAAAGTTTTAGGCAGGTGTGGGAAAAAATGCTAAAGAATGCTTTCAGAAATATAAATGATTGTTTATTGGCCCCAAATGTATTCTGCAGCAGGACAATGACCCCAATCATGCAGCCAAAGTCATTAATTTCAGTGTAAAGAAGAGCAAGAAGTACAGGAAGTGATGGTGTGGCCCCCACAGAGCCCTGATCTCAACATCATTGAGTGTGTCTGGGATTACATGAAGAGACAGAAGGATGTGAGGAAGCCTACATCCACAGAAGATCTGTGGTTAGTTCTCCAAGATGTTTGAAACAACCAACCAGCCGAGTTCCTTCAGAAACTGTGTGCAAGTGTACCTTGAAGAATTGATACTGTTTTAAAGCCAAAGGGTGGTCACACCAAACACTGATTTGATTTAGATTTCTCTTTTGTTTATTCGCTGCATTTTGTTGATTAGTGGGAAAAAAACATTTTTTAAAGCATTCTTTGCTTACGTAATTGTTTCCTCACCTGCCTAAAACTGTGCAAAGGCACAGTACTGTATTTGTACAAACCAATAAAGAAACACTTCATTTGAATAATACATGATGTAACAATACAAACAGAAACACAGTTGGAAAATTCAGAAATACTCAGAATACCCAGTTCCCCCCAAAAAGGGTCAGTGGACAAATTTTGCATGCAATCTTTAGTGACACTGAAACACCTCCTATGTCAGACTGAAGTGACTACATGCATATATCACGGGTTTAGAACACATTTGGCTTCGTATGGAAGAGTAAAAAACATAAAATAAAATTGAAGTTCAATTATTTCTATTTTGGCATTGCATACTTCAGTATTTCAGGATCCATGATATAAGATTTATCCTTTTTTTGGTTAATGTAAATTAAGATACTTTAGTGGTTTTGGTATTCATGAATTAGGTTGCAACTTCACTGGACTTACGCCTTTGCAGCTATTGTGTATACATTGTTTTTGCTTTTGTAAAAGTGTATGTGCTATTCTGTCTTCACTGTATCTTCATAACTAAAATAAATGACAGTACAGGTGCCAGATGTTCCAGAGCGCCTAAGCATAATTTCTCCCCAGTGATGCTTAAAACCTTGGGTACACATAAGCAGGAATGGATGATTGCAAATTAAGACCCCGTGTTATGTAACAAGCAAATTATTTTAATTGTGCTTACATGGAGAGGCACTGCTCAGTGCCATGTAAATTCCCAAGATGAAGATGGCGGGAAAGAAACGCTGACAGCTAAGTGTTTACCTACTCACAATGCACATTTTATTTTAGCCCCTGACAGTTAATCATGCACGTACCACAGGCAGCAGGGAGTAGCGGATGCAGAATCCCGGCTCAGAGGGAAAATACTCATCGGAGATGAAGCGAATAGTGATCTGGCTTCCCTTGGAAATGTGACCACCTGGGAGCGATTGTGACCCACACCAGCGACCCAGGATTGTCTTCTCAGTCGGATCTTCTATTTCCACAAAGTCGTACCTGGCACAGTGAAGAGAGAAAGGGCAGGACATGTTTTTGGTGTCTTAGACATGATTTGTTAATAGAACCAATCCAGCTATTGCTGGTGCTGTAGCTGGAAATCTGAACTTAGAGTTGAGCCTGTTATCTTTAATTGTGTTCTTGCCTCATTATTAGTCTGTCAGCTCCTTTAAGACTCCCATTGGCACGGTCGTTCTGAAGGTGAGATTGTTAATAAAGCTGCAAGGGCAATAAAGATTTAACCTCATTTAAAAAAAGAATACAAAAATAAATATCTGTAACAGCAGGGTAGCTGCATGAGATGAGATCTCTATTATTTACAGCCCGAGTTAAATGGATAAAAATAAACTGGAAATCACAAGTGCATTGCGGTCAAATCTCAAGTTGAAGGATCTAAGGATAGTGCAGCATAAGCAGCTGTTACTTTTGGCGATTAATAACCAATGCCGCAGTCTTTTGACAGGCCTATTACACCACATGTCATTGAAATATAGTTTTTAATTAAACATTGTTGACTGCACAAGAGACCCAGGCCTCTTTAATTGTACTACAAAACAAATTTCCAGTAGCAAAGTAAAAACTTTACTTTCACATTGTTTTGTTGTATTGGAGATAGCATCTTGTGGAGAAAACCACAACTCTGAAAACCTTGCCAAGCAGAGGAAAAAAAATACAACCAGGGGTTAAATTCTGATATAAGGCCCTTAGCTTTATTAAATATTAGATTTCCACTTTGTCAAAGGATTGTTTTACACTCCACACCTGTTAAGTCGCTAGAAAGAGAATGCTGCTTCTAGCTAGCTATAGTTAGCAAAGGCACCACAGACATATGCTTCTCACAGCTTTCTGAAATATCCACCTATCCTAGTATGTCCGCTGTCGCACGATCTGATATCCTCGTGTTGGTGTTGTTCCCAGATCATCATACTAAAGGTTGTTCCAGGA